TCAATGAAAGCATGGAAATATATAAAGCAAAATTAATAAATCTGAAAGGAGAGACAAACTGCAATACAATATTAGAAGGGCACTTTGATTTTCTGCTTTCGACAATGCAGATTATTTAGTCAGAAAATAAGCAAAGAAAATGTAGATTTTGCTTATGCTTTAGACCAGTGATCCTAACAAATATATACAGAATATTCCACACCACAAAATACAAATCTTCTGTTGGATAGTTTTATAGCTGAAATTTCCCAAGTATAAGAACTACCAAAAAAAAATGCCCAGAGCCTATTTCCCAACTTGTTTTATGAGTCCAGCATTAAGCTGATAATAAAGCTAGATGAAGACATTGTAAGATAAAAATTATAGCCGGTTGCTGGTGGCTCACGCTTGTAATCCTAGCTACTGAGGAGGCTGAGATCTGAGGATCATGGTTTGAAGGCAGCCCAGAAAAGTCCCCGTGAGACTCGTATCTCCAATTAACCTCTCAAAACAAAACAAAACAAAACCGGAAGTGGTGTTGTGGCTCAAGTGGTAGAGCACTAGCCTTGAGCACACAGAGGCTTAGGGCCAGTGCTTAGGTCCTGAGTTCAAGCCCCACAACCAGAAAAAAAGATAATAATTATAATCTACAAGTGTTAGATCTGCTGCTGCTTAGGAGAGAATCGTCAAGCACAGTTCCATGGTAGCTCAGCAGAAGAAAACCATGTAGAATTTGCCCATCTCTCAAGGTCTACAGAAAATCAATGAAGACAGGGTTTAAATTCCCATTTATATTAGGTGAATGTGGACTGGGAGAATCAACATTAATCAGGTCATTGTTCCTCACAGAAATAAGACTGTGCAGGTGGATCAATCCACAGTTTAAAAAAAGGTGGTGTTGGAAGTGGCGCTGTAGCTCAAGTGGTAGAGCGCTTGCCTTGAGCTGAAGAGCTGAGGGACAGCGCCCAGGCCCAGAGTTCAAGCCCCACGACCGACAAAAGAAAAAAAAAAAAAAAAAAAAAAAAAAAGGTGGTGTTCAATTGCTGCTCACAATAGCTCCCAGGTTTGGGAGGCTATGTGGATAATAATAGTAATTGCTAGCAACCTGATCCATTAATACTAAATTCAGAATTTCCTAAATGCAGAATCTTGAGTAAACAAATGTTGGATGTCTGAAAACAGTGTGCAGTGCTGTTAATAATTCACTGCTCCTCCAGGACATGGACTTAAACCATTCGATATTGAATTTATAAGAGGTTTGCATAAAAAGTGAATATTATCCCAATTGCCAAAGCAGACATGCTCACACCAGATGAATGCCAACAGTTCAACCCCAGCCGCCCCCAAAAAACTAGATAGTGAAAGAAATCCAAGAACATAAAATTAAAATATATGAATTTCCAGAAACAGATGATGAAGAACAAAATAAGCTGGTTAAAAAGATGAAGGATCTTTTACTTCTTGTTGTGGTAGATTGTAATGCTATCATTGAAGTTAAAGGCAAGAGGGTCAGAAGAAGGCAGTATCATTGGGGTGTGGCTGAAGTTTAAAATTGTAACTACAATTCTAAGGAATATGTTGCTAAGAACACATTCAGGCTTTAAAGGATGTCACTAAGGATACTATAAGAAGTATGGAAACAGAAAACTGGGACCTGGGACTTAATGGAGTTGGTAATAACAAGAATTAAGGATGGCTTACTAAAAGCCCTCTGGCACAAATAGAGAAAGAAAGAAGGAAGCTTTTATAGCGCAGATGAAGAAGATGATGTGAAAAGATGGAGCAGGTGTTTGAGATGATGGTCAATAAAAGGCTCTCTAGCAATGGAAAGACTCCAAGGCTGAGCTTCCATGGGGCCATGAGCAGATGACAAATAATTTGGAAGCCCAAAGAATGAGAGGAAAAATAGAGTCCATCTGGGGAGGAGAAAGGCAACTGGAAAGCTCAGAAGCACACTTTAGAACAACAGAAATCTTCAACAATGCTAGGGGAAAAAAAACAAGAAGAAATGGAAAATCTTGTAAACTCTCTATTGACCACTATTTAAATATTAATCCCTAGCTTGAACATCAGTGTTTGTTAGATCTGTTGGACCAGTTTGCACCAGTTTTATCTATAATGATAGGTTCACTGCATGACAAATACTATTTTTTGTTCTTGATAGAGAACAAGGAAATAGGGTGTTTTGAACTTACAAAGTAACAGATCTAAGTTCCTTTCTACATTTTCTCTTTTATTATTATTCAACAGATGTCTTCAATTTAATGCAAGAGAACATTTTACTGTTGTGATGTCATGTTTTGGTGGTTTGGTTATAGAACATTTCAAAATAAAGGAATCTGGCAGGTGTTCACTGAGGATACATTGTCCTACTATGTTGCAGGCTATACTTCTCTATAATAATTTTAATACAAAGGTTCTATTCAGTGCATCCTATCATGTAATTTCGTCTAACACAGTTAACCTTGTTTTAGACACTTTCATTGTTTGAAAACACACATGAAAAAAAGAGGATATATACTTACAGTACATCTAGAGCTTTTAATAGCAACCATTTTTAGGTTTGTTTTGGATTTTTTTACATATATGTCATTTTCACTTAGTGTCTCTGTGAGCCAAAGTCTAATTATGGCTTCATTTTTGCAATAACATTTAATATATATGTATACGCATCTTTCATATGTTAGGAGTAACAGAAAAACTTTCCTTTAACTCCTTTGTACACTTTATGGTAAATAGCAGGGAAGTAATGAAGTTTTAGGCCATTTCTAGGCAAATTGTAAAGCAAATGGCAAATCTGTTTCTAACTTATGCAGTCTCTTTATTTTACTAGAAATGGGAACCATAGCCTCTTGAAAAGATCTGCATTTAGATTTATCCATATATTGCCTTTTTGTATTTTTGTTTGTACTATAAAAATTCACATAATAAACAACAATGTGATATAAAAATTTATAGTTTAATATTCCAGATGACCAAAGATGTAAAAAATTATTCAAAAATTCTTCAGTAAATTGAATCAACAGCATATGAGATGCATCATTCATTATTATCAAGTTGAATTTACTCTAGGAAGGAAGAAATGGTTCAATAAAAGCAAATCAATAATTATGAGGTCCACTACATTTTAGAACCATGGACAAAATCCATACAGTATCTCTACCTATAGAAAGTATTTTCACAGAATTTGACATTCATTCATGATCAAAACTTTCAGCAAATAGGCTTAGAAAAAACATAGCAAAAGTCAGAGATGACATATTTATAGCTAACACCAAGTATTAAAAATATTTCCATATACAGAATCATATTATTAGTATAGATTCCCAGAATTTAGTGGTTGATTCAATTCATGAGAATATTTTAAAGACCACCAATCTGTTTGTTTTTACTGTTTTGCTCTGTTCCTACCACATAAAGTGCGACGGACCAGCTCTGCCAGAGCACTGGGACCGACGGGACAGGGATCTCGGGATAGGTGGGCAAAGGAGTCGGCGAAGTGACAGACACAGACTCAAAAGAGTTGCATCTCAGTGTATCATTACTGAGGAGAATTAACATTTTGTACAGTGTGTGATTGTGACATAGATTCTTTGTTTATTTAAGCACGTAATCAATTTTTAAGAAAAGCAAAGCAATGATGAATTACATGAAAATTGATGACTATCCCACCAACTGTTTAAGCTAAGTGGTGTGAAACAAGTCTAGCATATTGTTTAATAGAATATGTCATCTATTCAGCCTTTTTATGTTTAATAATTAACAAACCTAAGACAGGGCTGTACTTATATTGTACTCTTTTATTTTTTCCATATATTTTCAAATCCCTTTGAAACCATCCTAAAAACCACTTCCAGGTTGAGTCAGGCATTCTCTGTTTTCTATAATTTTAATCCCAATATTTGTTCACATAAATTTCTAATTGTTATTTTAAACTATCTTATTGTTGTTTTGATAATAAACACCATAATGGTCTAGATCTACCTAATCTTTGCATAAAATCTAATGAGTTCCAAAATACCCTTTTTCCTTTTACATTAATCCATCTATTTTCATCTTTATAAGCTCCTGTATAAGGAAATGGTTCATCGGTCAGTTCAGGAAATGTGATGTCACTAACTTTATATTTTGTGGGAAACCAACATCTATTCCCTATAACATAAGCTGGACTAAACTTAATCATAACTGTTGGGGGAATCTTTCTTTTCCTTTTATTATCAGGGTCCCTTTTTCTAGAACTTTCTGAGCTTCTGGCATAACTCCTTCTAGCTTAGTTTAATTCATTAATTCTGCCTGTTGTAACATATCTGGAAATTTTAAGTTTCTATATTTCCTATGCGTGAGCCGCAAAACTGCTTGTGAAGTTGTAGAAGTTTCTGGAGGCAGCGTCACATCAGATGATAGATTGATTGGGGCATTGCCCACATTTAATCTATGGTCCTAGTCTTTATTATTCAGAGGAGCTGTCTCTATTGGACTGGAAAGAAACATCATGCTCTGTTCGCGGATCAATAGAAAAATAGCCAAAACGAGAATAAAGGCAACGAATGTACAGCCAAGAGGAATATGGTAAGAATAAAGGTAGAGACTATAAAGGTGCAGCCAAGTGTATGGGAAGCCTTGAACCAACATCCCCTTCCTGCAGGCATGCTTCCTTGAAGCATGATCTCTCACGCAGACTCCGCAGGAAGTGGCGTGGCAATAAAGTTTATTGTTTTAAGCATAATTTCACCTGATCATAGTGAAATATCAAAGTTGTATTTTCTCTTTGGCAAATTATCCTAGTCCTAGTTCATTTAACTTGAAAATGTCAAGATTTTGGGTTACTTAATAGGGCATTATGCATACTTTGTGGACTCATTTTCTCAATAGACATTTTCCAAGTAATAATTATCAAAAATTATGCAATGGGAGCAAGTGCAAGGTGTGATATTTCAGAAGTAGGTTAAGCAGGTTATTTTTTTTAACTAATAGTGTTCAGGAGCAGTATAAAAGTTGATTTTCCTTATCTATATCCATTTATGAATGCAATTTCTTTAAAAAAAATAAAGCAGTTCAAACTTACAGCTTTTATTTTTTCCTTGTTCTTTTGGACTGAATCCCTATCGCTACCTACAAATCTTTGGGATATAGGTAAGGAATCTGTATATCAAGAAGGTATTAGGGTAATTAGCCTCTTTTTTTCTTTCCAATTTCATTCTTCACTAAGTTCTTTCTCCCTCTTTAGATTAGTTACCCCAAACTTCCTTCTCCAGATTTTCACTGTGGCAGGAATGTTTCCCAATCTACAGACAGATAGAGTTTTTATACTCAGGAAATGGCCACCAATCTATGACAGATAGGAAATTGTTGCTTAGTCACAGAATTTAGACTTCAAAATCTTACTACTCCTTCCAAGTATTTATCGTTCATGCTAACAGTAGAACAACAGATATTAGTTCAGATTTTTGTTTAGAATCTTTGGTTGTCCATTGTATCTTCCAATTAGATGGTAAAAACTTTTACTTCAACTGTTCATTTTGTACACTTCCCCAAGACTACTGAAATCAGCATAAGCTTGGAGGGAGGGACAGATTTGGTGTTTCTTATATCCAAAGGTAGAAACCTTTGAAGTTCTGTGTTCAGAGGAGGATCTTTCTGCATTCTCTTTGGCCTGGGAATGCCATCTTTCTGTAACTTTCACCAAAGTGCCCTTCAAAGCACAGTGGTTCTGAAGTTGTGGAGTGTTTTACTCTATCTGACAACTCTTCAACTTGCTTGCTAATGTGACCAGCCACAGGGCTTGATGAGAAAACCATTCTTTTTTGGGGGATGGGAGGGTCATGGAGCTTGAATTCAGGGCTTGGGCAATGTCCCTGGGCACTTTTTGCTCAAGGCTAGTGCTCTACCACTTTGAACCACAGCTCCACTTTTTTTTGAGTGGTTAATTGGAAATAAAAGGCTCATGGGGCCTTTTCTTCCCAGGCTGGCTTGGAACAATGATCCTCAGATCTCAGCCTCATGAAGTAGCTAAGATTACAGGCGTGAGCCTGGCACCTGGTTAAAACAATCATTCTTGAATTCTCCTTCTCCATTCTCCTGGTAACAACTTCATAATCCTTTTGGTTTATTTAATAACTTTTATACCTATGTTTTCCTTTCCATTTTTATTACTATTACTAAAATTAAGGTTCTGCCTATTTTTCAGCAGGATAATTGGAAAAATTCCTTACTGACCATCTTTTCCTCATCTGTCCATTCTTCCATTCACACATTTGATAAACAGTTCTCACCCCTTTGTGTTTGTTATGCTCTGTGGGAGGGCTTAAGTATACAAGGTATACGATTAACTTGAAAGATACTTAGAGTATAGAAATGGTCATAAACCTATTCTATAAGCCTAATCAATGACTTCCTGTGATTTCCAAACTCTTCAGCCCAAACTCCTCAGCTTTATAGGACACTCATGATTTGAACCTGGGCCATTTCTATCTGAACTATGTCCTGTTATTTCTTTGAAGGACTCACTTTCTCATCAAAATGGATCATCTTTTTTAAACTATATTTCAAGATTTCTTGCCTTATATACTCTTTACACCATTCTCCTACACAGAAAGTCAGTAGTCCTTATTTTTCTCCCAGGAGAACTTTTATTGATTGATTGATTGATTGCTCGTGAGGCCTGAACTCTGGGCCTGGGAGCTATCCCTCAGCTCTTTAGCTCAAGGCTAGCACTCTACCACTTGAGCCGCAGTGCCACTTCCGGCTTTTCCTGCTTATGTGGTGCTGAGGAATACAACCCAGGGCTTCATGCATGCAAGGCAAGCACTCTACCACTGAGCTACCTTCCTAGCCAACCTTTTTCTTTTTTTTAAAGATTTGTTCTGACTCAGCTAACATGATACTCTCCAATGGCCTTTTTTCTGGTTCCTTGTTTGGGAAACAAAGGAAACATAAAGGATTCTTGACAAATGCTTAACCATTGTAAATTGGATTATAGTCACGTGCCCCCCTCTGCTGTGTGTGCTCGGGGACCCGGAGTCTATGGGAGATATCTTTCTTGATCAATATGCTTCATAATGATCAGCACAATACTTTGTAAACAATACATAATATAAATGTAATCTCTGTGGTCACACAGAAATGTTTTTCAATTCATTTATGTGCATTGGGAGAGAAATTGTGACTTTAAATGAGTCTGGATATCAGTTGAATATGTGTGTGACTGGCATTATAATGACATCAAGTATCAATATGTTAGAGCATCTCCTGTCAGGCCCTGTCCTGGAATTACATCACTTATTAATTTCCCTATTACTTCTCTAGCATTAAAGGGTAGGAATGATGCTTACATTTAAGATTTGTAGCAGGAGAGTCATCAGCTGCCAATCTAAAATCTAGTCAGTTTTTGGAAAAAAATCATACTAAGTGATGTAAGCCAGACCCAAAGAAACATAGGTCCCATGGTTTCCCTTATTTGCAATAATTAGTATACTTCTAGGTTGGTCTTAGAAGATGAACAGAATAACTCAGCAGCTATGTACATGTGACTATATAAGATGATGTTAAGCAAAATGAACTCCAAAACATGGACACAAAAGGCTTTTCATTGCCGTCGTTGTTTTTAGTGTACCAGGTGGTTTGTTGTTTCTTTTGTGTGTTTTTCCCCCTATGGTTTTTCTCTTGTTGTCACTGTATTTGTCTTTGGTACCTTGTATTGTATATATGTTTATCTGAATTAGGGGAGGGGCGGGGAACAGCAGAATGGTGAGACAAAGGACAAGGGGAAACCAATGTAAGAGAGATACTCAAAGGACAGTATGTTGGAAATGATGTGTACAACTTGCAGGGGGTTGGGAGAGAGGGGAAGTAGGAAAAAATGAGGGAGGGGATAACAAGCTCTACAAGAAATGTACTTTTTACTTATGTCACTGTAAGCTCTCTGCATCTCACCTTGACAATAAAAAAAGAAGTAAAAGAAATCTAGTCTGTTTGATATTAATTCAAATCAATTCAATTTAGTGTGACTATTTCCTGAGCACAAAATCATGATGATTAGTATCTGATGTTGATTTTCATGAATTTCCTCTTCTACATTAAATGTATGAAATTATTTCATACCCTAGGTATTTTATTTTGTATTTTGTACAGTAGGCATCATGTATAGCTTTTTGGAGAAATGTTAAAATATTAAAATTTTGGAGAAATGTTAAAATGTTAATACATATAGTAACCTAAAATTCTTGCTTTGTAGATGACTTCAGCACTACACAGAAATTTATACAAGAGAACATTGGATCCTTGCCAGTGGTTCTAGACACCCCTTTTATTAAAATTTAATTTTATTATCAAGGTGATGTACAGAGGGGTTACAGTTACATAAGATAGTACATTTCTTTTCTTTTTTGGGGTGGGGGGGTCCGGTCGTGGGGCCTGAACTCTGGGCCTAGGCGCTATCCCTCAGCTCTTCAGCTCAAGGCTAGCGCTCTACCACTTGAGCCACAGCGCCACTTCCAGCTTTTTTCTTTTTGCTTATGTGGTGCTGAGGAATTGAACCCAGGGCCTCATGTATGCCAGGCAAGCGTTCTACCACTGATCTACCTTCCCAGCCCAAGTAAGTACATTTCTTGTCAAACTTGTTACCCCCTCCCTCATTTTTCTCCCACTTTACCTCCTTACCCCCCCCCTCCCACCAAGTTATACAGTTTATTTCCAACATATTGTCTTGTGAGTACTGCCGTTGCACCCAATGCAACCATTTTGTTGTTCCCCTTCCCTTCCCTAATTCAGATAAATGTATATACAATACCAGGGTACCAAAATCAAATACAGTGACACAGAGGACAAACTACAGGAAACACACACACACACACACACACACACACACACACACACACACACACACAGAAATCACATAGTACATTAAATATAACAACAACGAAGTAAAACCTCTTATTTCAATGGGTTGGAGCTCATTTCGCTTAGCATCATCATATGTGGGCTAGATTCCTCTTAATATGAAAGTTGTTTGCTATTTATCTGAAACATTCTAGAAATGTTAGTTTACCAACAACAATTTAATTAAATCAAAGCCATGAAAAACAAACACAACATTAATTATGAAATATTAGGAAAGCAGTTGAATTGTTGAGGGGCAGGAAAATATGCAGGCTGTGTATTCAGATGATTTCTGGGCTGCTCAGCAAGGGACTGTTCCTATAAGATTTGTTAGATATAATTGGAAATTCTGCAGATGTTCATAATGGACCACATGGACTATTGCAGGGTTATCATCACATTTGCTCAGTATGTTCAGGAAGCGACCTTTGATGAGTTGGAAATGCTAGTGAAAACCGTGATAGATTAGAAGGAAAGATGCCTGACTAATCTGAGACTTCTAGAATGTTCAAAGATTGCTGTAAGTAAACCACTTTCAATTATTATAAACACAAGACTTAAGAAAGATAATCTATACATACCATTTTTTATTTTGCCTATTTTTCTTTTTTTTTATAAGTTTTTTATTGTGAAAATACTAAACAGAGGGATTACAGTTACCAATTTTGCCTATTTTTCATACTTAGAATAAAGTGCTTTGCTCAAGAGAAATGCAATTCTGTATAGGATGTACAAGAGGAGTTGGCTATATACTTTCAATAAACATACACGCAACTTAAGTACATACCATTCCATATATTATCTATCTATTGATCTATCTATCTATCTATCTATCTAGTGAGAGAATGCAGTTAGTATTCTGAAAATGCAGTAAATGCTTGTTGTAGCCTATACGCTCTTATCATACATTCTTTTGTGGGCTTTCTCCAAAGAGTTACCAGTGGCATCTCTAAAACTAGTAAACACCATTATTAAACCCACAATGACCTTGTTACCTTAGGATATGAGAAAGAAAAAGCCTTAATGGAAAGTCACTAACAGAGAGTGACAGGTCACATGCTCTTGTGGCAGGATACAGAACATTTCTCAAAGTGTAAGATGGCGGTCAATGGTATGGTAAAGATATTCTACTGCAATAAAGTCATCTTTTTCCCAAAGGTAACACTGATCATTCAAACAACTTTGTCCTCACTAAAAATGTCCCCATTCCCCTCTCTTGTCCAGGAGACTTTTACAGGAGATTTTGTGTGCTCAGGAAGGGTCACCTCAGAAGTATAATTTTTCACAATGTTGTAGTAAAGTTGATGTTGAAAGAAGACTCTGTTTCTTATACAAAAAGAAAAGCATTGTGGGATTTTTGCCTCCATTTCCTACTTTGGATCCTGAGGAGAAATGCCAGGCTTATAAAAATGACAGAGAATCTTTTTTTTTTTTTTTTTTTGGGTCCGGTTGTGGGGCCTGAACTCTGGGCCTGGGTGCTGTCCCTCAGCTCTTCAGCTCAAGGCTAGCGCTCTACCACTTGAGTCACAGCACCACTTCCGGCTTTTTTATTTTTGCTTATGTGGTGCTGAGGAATCGAACCCAGGGCCTCAGGCATGCAAGGCAAGCGCTCTACCACTGAGCCACCTTCCCAGCCCCGACAGAGAATCTTTTATAAACTGGTATGTTTTGTATAGTACAAAAATGATTTTACTGAAGAATTATTCTTAGGCTAATTCTAATACTTACCTGAAAGGAACATGGTGGGATTCATTGACTGCATGCATTCATTATATCATCTATCATCTGGCATGCACCATGTGTCTGGTTCTGCCTTCAGTATTGAGGATGTAATTAGGAATGGGATATGAACCCCTCTTTCAAGACCTTTACATTAGTCAGGTGTATCTTCTAATATGATAAACCCTAAGATAGAGGTGTGTTCCCAGTGTTACACTTGGAGGAAGCAGTGGTGGAAACAATATTTGCTTCCCAATGGAAAACCATAGGTTTTACTTTGAGAAAACATTTTCAGTACAACAGCAATAACAAAGCAGAGACGGTTTCTTTCATGCCTTTATTTTTTCTCTTGGAGAGCTGATGTGCATGGAAACCCATCACAAGAGGTTTTGAACAAGGGGGAGGGAATGGGGTGAGTGTAGTTGTGGAGGTGGGAGGGAAGGGATGGTAGGGGAAAAAACAAAGAGAGGCAACAATGATAAGAAATGTGCTTATCACCTTGCTCATGTAACTGTAACCCCTCTGTATGGTATTTTCACAATAAAAAACTTATAAAAAGTTTTTGAACATGCATAGCGAATGATATGTATATGAAAATCTCTCTTTGAATGTGGAAGGGAGATTTGTCCACGTAGCATTAAGAGGAAAGAAGGAGACAGTACATTCATAGCTCAGTGTTGCGGATTAGAACTGCAATCCTTTTCCTTATTTGAAGTTAGGAACTCCCGTAATAGGGCTTGAAAGAATTCTTCCTGGGGACTGGACAATGTTGTCTTGTATTTGATTTTTCTATAATGGGAAACCTTTTCTTCTTTTTTAATCTTCATTTTAACTTACCCTTCTGTCCTCTTATTGATTTCCCTTGTCCTTTCCTTTTATTTATTTATTTATTTATTTTTTATTGTAAAGCTACTATACAGAGGGTTACAGTTACATGAGTGAGGTTATGAGTACACTTCCTCTTGAACATTGTTACCCCCTCCATTGTTTTCCCCATACCATCCCCTCCCTCCCTCCCTTCCCCGAGGTTCTTTTTTTTTTTTTGATTGTGATTAAATGATTACATAATTTCAAAATCACAAGTTCATTCTAACTTCCCTGGAGCAAATTGTCTACCACAGTCTGTAATATATAACAGTGTTCACATGTTATATACCATATTTGTGATCAGCAGCATGGGGATATTTAGTAGTGGTTCAACCAGATGAGCGGGAGTTCTTTGTTTCTTAAGTCCTGTTAGTTTTGTCGTTTCACCTAACCTTTTGGATTTAGCATCCACTTATCAGGGAGACCATGTACCGTTTGTCTCTTCGTTCTTGGCTTACCTCGCTCAACATGATTCCTTCTAGCTCCATCCATTTCCCTGCAAATGCCATTATTTTGTCATTTCTAATGGCTGCATAATATTCCATTGTGTATAGATACCACAATTTTTGGATCCATTCATCTGTGGTGGGGCACCTAGGTTGTTTCCATATCCTAGCTATTGCGAACAGTGCTGCAATAAACATGGAGGTGCACGTGTCCTTGTATATTGGTTCCTGTTGTTCAGGGTAGATGCCTAGAAGTGGTATGACTGGGTCGTAAGGGAGGTCAATCTTTAGCTTTCTAAGGACCCTCCAGACTGCTTTCCAAAGTGGTTGTATAAGTGTACATTCCCACCAGCAGTGTAATAGGGTTCCTCTTTCTCCACATCCCCTCCAGCATTTGTCGTTGGCTGATTTGTGGATGTGGGACATTCTGACTGGGGTAAGGTGGTATCTCAGGGTTGTCTTTATTTGCATTTCCTTCACCACCAGGGATGATGAACATTTCCTCATGTGTTTCTTTGCCATTTTTATTTCTTCATTTGAGAAGTCCCTCTTTAGTTCCCTTGCCCATTTAGTAATTGGTTTGTTAGGTTTGGGAGGGATTAGTTTCTTGAGTTCCCTGTATATACAGGATGTTAACCCCTTGTCTGATATATTGCTGGTAAATATTTTTTCCCAATTAGTTGGTTGTTTTTCTAGCTTAGTTGCGATAGATTTAGCTGTGCAGAAGCTTTTTATTTTAAGGTAGTCCCATTTGTCGAGTCTCTCTCCAACTTGTTGTGACCCTGGGACTCTGTTCAGGAAGTTCCTTCCTGTGCCTATTAGTTCAAGTGTCTCTCCTACTCTGTCCTGTAGTAGTTTCAGAGATTCAGGTTTAATGTTAAGGTCTTTAATCCATTTTGAGTTGATGTTGGTGCATGGTGATAGGCTGGGGTCCACTTTTACTTTTCTGCATGTGGCTGCCCAGTTTTCCCAGCACCAGCGGTTGAAGAGGCTGTGTTTCTTCCATTGTATGTCTTTGGCTCCTTTGTCTAATATCAGCTGGCTGTAGGCCTGTGGATTTATTTCTGGATCTTCTATTCTGTTCCATTGGTCTTCGGGTCTGTTTTTGTGCCAGTACCATGCTGTCTTTGTGATTATAGCTCTGTAGTAGAGTTTGAAGTTCGGCATGGATAGCCCTCCCATATTGTCTTTATCCCCTAGAATTGTTTTGGCTATTCTAGGTCTTTTGTTGTTCCATATAAATTTTTGGACTGTTTTCTGTATTTCAGTGATGTACGTCATTGGGATTTTAATAGGAATTGCATTGAATTTGTATATTAGTTTTGGAAGTATCACCATCTTTACTATATTAAGTCGGCCTATCCAGGAGCATGGGAGGTCTTTCCATTTCCTAGTGTCTTCTGCAATTTCTTTCTTTAACTTTTTATAGTTCTCATTAAATAGTTCTTTTACATCTTTGGTTAGGTTAATTCCTAAATATTTTATTTTTTGGGAGGTTATTGTGAATGGGGTTGCTACCTTTACTTCCCTCTCTTCCTGTGCATTATCAGTGTATAGGAAGGCAACTGATTTTTGTGGGTTTATTTTGTATCCTGCTATTTTGCCGAAGTGACTTATGATTTCTAAAAGTTTGGGGATGGAGTTTTTGGGATCGTGGAGGTATAGTATCATGTCGTCTGCAAAAAGGGATAGTTTCACTTCTTCTTTCCCTATGCGGATCCCTTTAATGTCTTTTTCTTGCCTTATTGCCCTGGCTAAGGGTTCTAGGACTATGTTGAAGAGGAGTGGAGACAGTGGACATCCTTGCCTTGTTCCTGTTTTTAGGAGGATTGGTTGTAGCTTTTCCCCATTAAGTATAATATTGGCTATTGGTCTGTCATAAATGGCTTTTATTGTTTTTAGAAATGTTCCTTCTATTCCTATTTTCTCCAGAGCTTTTAGCATGAATGAATGTTGAATTTTATCAAAGGCCTTTTCTGCATCTGTGGCGATAATCATGTGATTCTTGACCTTGGCTCTGTTGATATGCTGGATTACATTTATTGACTTATGTATGTTAAACCATCCCTGTGTCTCTGGGATGAAGCCTACCTGATCATAGTGTATTATTTTTTTAATGTGTTTCTGGATTCTGTTAGCTAGAATCTTGTTAAGGATCTTTGCATCTGTGTTCATCAAGGAGATTGGCCTGTAATTCTCCTTTTTGGTTGGGTCTTTGCCTGGTTTGGGGATGAGTGTGATATTGGCTTCGTAGAATGAGTTTGGGATAGCTCCCTCCTTCTCTGTTTCTCTGAAGAGCTTGAGGAGTATGGGTATTAGTTCTTCTTTAAAGGTCTTATAGAATTCTGCTGTGAATCCATCTGGTCCTGGGCTTTTTTTTGTTGGAAGACTTTTGATAGCTTCCTGTATCTCATTATAGGATATTGGCTTATTTAATTGGTTAACTTCTTCTTTGCTCAGTTTGGGTAACTTGTATTTCTCTAAAAATGCATCCATTTCCGCCAGATTTTCTTCCTTTAGAGAGTATAGCTTTTGAAAGTAGTCTGTTAGAATTGTTTGGATATCTTGGGTACGTGTTGTGATGTTTCCCGTGGCATCCCTAATCCTATTAATATGGGTTTCCTCTCTTCTTTTTTTAATTAATCTTGCCAACGGGCCATCAATTTTGTTTATTTTTCAAAGAACCAGCTTTTTGTTTGGTTTATTTTGGTTATGGTTTTCTGATTTTCTAATTGGTTAATCTCTGCTCTCAATTTGGTTATCTGGCTTCGTCTAGTAGCTTTAGGTCCCATTTTTTCTTGTTTTTCTAGCTGTTTTAGTTGCAACATGAGATTATTTACTTGGTCTGTCTCCATTCTCTTGATGTGGGCACTGAGGGCAATAAATTTGCCCCTCAGGACTGCTTTTGCTGTGTCCCACAAGTTTCTTTGTGAGGTGTTTTCATTTTCATTGAGTTGTAGGAAATGCTTTATTTCTTCTCTGATCTCTTCTGTTACCCAGGCCTTGTTAAGGAGTGTGCTGTTCAATTTCCATGTATTAGAGAAATTTCTGCGGTATGATTTGTTATTGAGAGCTAGCTTGATTCCACTGTGGTCAGATAGGATACAGGGGATTATGTCGATCCCTTTGTATTTGCTTAAGTTCCTTGCATGAACTATGATATGGTCTATTTTGGAGAAAGTTCCATGAGCTGCTGAGAAGAATGTGTACTGTGTTGTTTTAGGGTGAAATACTCGGTAGATGTCAGTTAATTCCGCTTGAAGTATGGCCTCACTTAATTCGGTAGCTTCTTTGCCAATCCTCTGGTTGGTAGACCTGTCCTTTGGTGAGAGTGGCGTGTTAAAGTCTCCTAGTATTATCGTATTGGGATCTATTTTATTCTGTAAGTTTGAGAGCATTTGTTTAACATATCTGGGTGCACCGATATTTGGGGCATATAAGTTGATGATGGTTATATCCTCCTCTTGGATTGTTCCCTTTATTAATATGTAGTGTCCGTCCTTGTCTTTCTGTACTGATTTTAATGAAAAGTTTATTTTGTCAGATATCAGGATAGCTACACCTGTTTTCTTATTGGGGGAATTTGATTGGTAGATCCTTTTCCACCCCTTCACTCTGAGTTTGTTTGTATGTTTGGCTGAGAGGTGGGTCTCCTGAAGGCAACAGATGGATGGGTCTTGTTTTCTGATCCAGTCCTCAGTTCGTTTTCTTTTAATTGGCGAATTCAGCCCATTTATATTAAGAGAAAGTATAGAGAGATGCATTGTTGTCCCTGCCATTCCGTTTTCCTAAGTTTTTCTTCTTTCCTTTCCTCCTGTGCTTGCTCAGTTAGACTTTGAGTAATGCCTGTTTGGGGCAGGTCCCAGTTCCTGGTTGCTTTCTTCAGGTTGTGTCCCCCCTCTTAGAATTCTTTGTAATGCTGGCTTAATGTTTATGTATTCATTTAGTTTTTCTTTGCTATTAAAAGTTTTCAGTTCTCCATCGAATGTGAATGCTAGCTTTGCCGGGTATATCAGTCTGGGTTGGCAGTTATTGGCTCTCAGGGCTCGTATGGTGCTTTCCCAGGCTTTTCTTGCATTCATTGTTTGTGTGGAGAGATCTGCAGTGATTCTAATTTTTTTCCCGTTGTAGTATAGCTCCTTCTTTATTTTTGCTGCATGCAGGATTGTTTCCTTATTATTCAGATCCATCATTTTTACTATGATGTGCCTAGAAGTGTTTCTCCTGGGATCTTGCTTGTTGGGTGTTCGATATGCTTTTGTGATGTAGTTAAGATGGTCGTTTTTGAGGTGGGGAAAATTTTCATTGACTATCTTGTTAAATAGGTGTTGCATTCCCTTGCTCTGGAATTCCTCACCTTCGTCCACTCCGATTATGCGAAGGTTAAATTTTTTAGCATTATCTGCTTGCTCTTGAATTTCCCTTTGGTTTAATTTGAGTGATTTTTCCATATCTGTCACTTTTTGGTCCAGTTGGTGTATTCTGTCTTCTGTATCTGACACTCTACCTTCCATTTCATTCACTCTGTTGACCGTGGCTTCTATTGTGGTTTGCATGGTGGAAATGGATCCCTTTATGGATTCAATGTTGGTTCTCAGAGTACTGATCTCACCTCTCAATGAGGTGAGATCAGTATGCATTACCTCTAATTTGGCGTTTATCTCACTTCTTACTGAGGTTTGTGCCGCTTCTATTTTTGCATCCAACTTTTGTTTGATGTCCTGTATATCTTTTGATAGTTCATCCTTGTGCTCTTTCAATTTCTGATCCATTTCTCGCTTTATTTCTTGAGTCATTGCCTCCAGCAACCCTTGGATGTAGTTTTTGTCTTCCATTCCTGCTTTGCTCCCACTGGGGCTCTCCCCTGCGTGACTGCTGGCTTTTGAGGTGAGCTTGCTGTCCTGGGTAGTGGTAAACCTTGTGATTTTTCTCTGTGATTTTTGCATGGGGGTTCAGGAGACTGCTCTTCAATCTTGTTTTGGTGTGTCTGTCTTTGCTTGGTTGCTGATTCTGTATTGGTAGAGAGAGTCTGTGCCTGATCTGGATTCTGTTGGGAGCCTATTTCCAGCTGCTATTCTGACTTACTTAGGATTCTCAGCTCTCTGCTGTAGCAATTCCCGCCTTTGGAAGGGTTGAGCAGCCTAGACTGCTTGTGTTTGCTCCTGCGGGTGCTCTTGGGAAGATCAGATGCTCTGGATGCACTCTCCCAAATACTGGAGTCTGCTATGGGCTCCTGATGTGTTTTTGTTTGTTTGTTTTGGGCTGGTTGTGGGCTTGAACTCTAGGTTTGGGTGCTGTCCCTCAGCTCTTCAGCTCAAGGCTGGCACCCTACCATTTGAGTCACAGCCCCACTTCTGACCCTTTTTGCTTTGTTCAGGCGCCGGTCCCCAGGCCTGGTTCCGGCCCCAGCCTGGAGCGCGCTCGTTGGGCCTGTGCTAATGTGTATACCACCTAGGTTATGCAGCCTGGAGGACACAGTTCAAATTTCTTCTACTGTTGGTAGTCTTGACCCAGGGGCGCTGTTCCTGGCTTGGGCATTTAAGCTCCCTTCCAGGGGCGCTCTTGCTCTGGCCTGGCCAGCAGAGTGTGCTCCACCGGTTGGTGGAGCTCTCGAACAGTTCCCAGTTTTAGTGGGTCCTGTGGTCCGGGTGTTGGGGTAGGGAGTCTAGGTCAGGGTCTGGGGATTCCCTCCAGCTCTGGTCTCCCTTGAGGGATTCACTGTCCCCTGTTGGGTACTCACCCTGTAGGTCGTCAGTTGTTGTTGCAATCCAAGTTCAGTTGGGGTGGTTGCGGGCTGGGTTGGGCGGCCCCCGCGGGGTAGTTGCGATCACGATTGGGCGGGTGTTCTGCGGACAGGTCCCTTTGTCGTGCTGCTGGTGCCGGGCGGCTTTGGCGGGATGGAGCCTCTCCACTCCGGTGGAGAGTGATGGGTGGGGGTGGGATCCTCGTGGAGAGTCCCGGCTGGTAGGTTTCTCTGTTCCTGGCGATCCGCTGTTCTGCAATCCGGTACCTGGTGATCTGCAAGCAGCCCCCTGTGTCTCTGTGGCTCCGGCAGCCCCCGCCGGGCCGGCTGGCCGGCGGCTTGGCGCACTGCCAGTAAAGGTTGGGGGAGGGGTCTTCGCTCTTCTCTGTTCTGAAATTCTTCTTTTCCTCTCTTTCTTTTTTTGTTATTTTCCACCTCTGGTTTTTCTCTGAGTGTTCGTCTTTTTGTTGTTGTCGGTCTCTTGGGGAGATTAAACGTTGGAACTCGAACTCTCTTTTTGGTTGGAGAGAGCTGTGGCGTTTCCCTACTGCCCCGTCGCCATCTTGGTCCCCCCCCCCTTGTCCTTTCCTTATGTGCTCTTGTCCCTTATTTTTTTCCCCTGTGTCTTCCCCTTCCCTTTCCCTCTCCTTAATCTAAAAAGCATTTCATAGCTACAGTCACGAACTTGCTAGAAGAAACCCCTTTGGCTTTGCCTCTACACTTCTAATGGCTGCTGCTCGTTTTGAAGAGCTGGCCAAGAGATGTTGTGGAGAACAACAAAAAGACAACTGTTTTCAAACAAACGTGGGTATGTGTTTCATTTGCTTCATGAAAAGAATAAGGAATCACCAGTGTCGCAGCTCTAGGTTCCACTTGAAATTGCAGGAAAAGATTTTTTAAATTACAACATCTGTTACTGTCTTACCACATTCACTGCTTTTTCTACCCACTGGTCACCAGCCACTGCTGTTATAAATGTTCTCTTTCTCTGAGACCTTATGAACCAGTTGACATTTCCAGGATTTCTCTTCTTTGTTTTCCTTGCAAACTGTAAGAGAATGAATGAATGAATGTCCAGGATGGAAGACAATATTTATCTTCTGTCCTTCACAAGCCCTCCTTTGACACTGTCCACAAAATAGGTACTATCTTAAAAGAGACAGCCATGTTCACAGAATACTTCCCCATTCCATTTCCTATCAAGTATTCCATCAAGGAAGGATACTGACTTCACCCTTATAATGAACTACAAATGTATATTTCTCTCAATAGGTAAAATGACTAAAATAAAATTCTACGGACAACTTGCTTCCGATAAACTTCGGTAGTTTAAAAAATTAAAAAATAAGTGGAATTTTTGCTATTTTCAATAAGATTTTTTCTCTTTCAGGCTTCATTCATCATACACTATTGGAAAGCATTATTTTCCCATCAAAACAAAGTCTGTGAGGCTCTGAGGAAGTTTGGATTCAAAGTCTTACATTGTGTGAGTTTTATACTTGTCTCTTGTCTCCAATAGTATTTTCTCGTCTCTGTCCCGTTTTTGTTGAACAGTTGATGGCTTTTTATTTAGGTTCCTTCTAATTCCCTGGGGATTTGGAGGCAGGTAGGTTCACATGGGCTGTTCACAGTTATCTGGTTGTTAGGACAGTATGGATAAAAAATTGGGAGGTGGGGTGACCCCCAAAAGAAAAGTAATTCCTCCTAAGATATATCGTGGGAACTCTGTGCTGGATTATTTATGCCCGCCATTCTCTCACAACAGTATACTTGTATACTCCTCACAACGTGTTGTGTTACAATAAGATAGAATGGTGCAAATATTTCTTTGTATTTGGGACAAGGACAGAGAATGGACAGGCAGAATGTCAGCCTAGTACTTCCGAAGTGATCATAGGAGTGCACTTTACCATCCCTTATTTAATGAGACATCTGTGCAGTATCTGTGGAAACCAGTGGTTTTAGAGCTATTCATTTTTTGTTAGTAAGGAACTCCTTCATGTTTCACTTGATGTTCAAATTATTTTAGTGGTTTATCAATTCTCTTTCCAGAAACATTGTTGTTTTGGGTAGAAAATTTCCCAAGAGGAAATTTCATGAACTTACTTCCCTCTTAAAAGATGTTCCTTCTATGTATGATGGATGCTGTTTGGGGGATTTTGTGAACTGCATCCATGCCCAGGTAATAGTCTTTAAAATCAAGCAAAAACAAAAACCTCATGATTTTCGACACTTATTTGTAAAGTTTTATTTCGAATTGATATGTAAAAATTGCACACATTAATGAGATTCATTATAATTGTTTAAAATTTATTTTGCTATCTTTAGGTAGTTGTATAAAGGAGATGCCATTCAACAAAGCAGTTAATGAATACAATGTATCTTGATCAATGTCACCCCGCTTTGACCCACCCCTGCCCTTATTTTTCTTAATTTTGTGGCATATATAATGAATTCTTAACTTATGATTATTATCTTAATCAAGAACACAATGTGTCCTGATCAAATTAGGATAATGAGCATCTCCAAGCCCTTATTATTTCTCTGTGCATGGACACCTATATTGAGTATTTCTCTTTTAACAATTTATAAAATATATAATCTATTAAGAACTAAAGTTTCTCTACTGAGCTATGGAATTCTAGGACTTATTTTTACCTACTTCTATTTCCTGCCCCTTCCTAGTCTCTAACACTATTCTTTACACTTCTACTTTAAAATCAATGTTTTAAACTTCTATAGATGAGAGGAAAATATGTATTATTTGTTTTTAAGTGCCTGGCTTATTTCACTTTTAACACAATACCCTGTAGTTTAAGCTATTTGGACATAAATGATGGGATTCTATTGTTTTATGGCTGAATTATATTCCACTGTGCGTAATACCTACATGTATGTAAGTATATATTTTCTTTATCTAGTCATGTATTTATTAACTGACAGATTGAGTCTGATCTTAGCTTTTTGTGAATAGTGTCGCAACAATTATGGGAATTCAAGCATCTCTTGGATTTGTTAATTTCCTTTCATTTGGGTATATCCCAGATGAAATATATCTGCATTATATATTTTGAGAAATCTTTATTTTGTTGTTCATAAAAGTTATACTAAATTATATTTCCTATAGTAGTTTAAAAGAATTCTCTTTCCTCTATATTCTTATCAGCATTTTTATTATTATTATCATTATTACTATTCAGTTAGTTATTTTTTACACTACTGTGGATTACATTCAAAGCTCTGTACTTACTAGGCAAGAGTTCTACCACTTGAGCCATGCCCCCAGCACCATTTTATACTGGTTATTTTCTAGATAAGGTTCCACTTTATGCACAGATGAGCCTGGGCTATAATCAAGTCTATTTTTAATGATTATATTACCTTAAATCCTCATGGGTAAAAAGCTTACATCAATATGAAATTTCATGTGTATACTCATGATTGCTTTTTTATGAACCCATTTCTTTATGAAGGTAAATTCTTAAGGAAATTTGAAAATAATTTCTTATTCTTATTTGATACAGAACCAGGTTTATAGTTATATATGTTCAAAACAAGATTCCATCTCCAGTAAAATCAGAGAATGCTGTGAAAAGAATATACTGGAGTGTGAAGAATGTATAATTAATTCCAACAAAGATGATATACCAGAGTATTTATCTCTTGGAAAATCAAAATACACTGGCAGTGAAAATGTGTGCCAAGAAAAAGATACTGACCCAGACAGCTTCTTTGCTGAGTAATGTAACTCTTTGTTGATATATACAAGGCAATTAGTGGGAAAAAAATCTATTAGATTTACTCTATTTTGACACTTTTGGGTAATAAGAAAATGAATGATTTAATTCACCTGGGTAAGTGGCTGTTAACTACAGAGTTTTGATATGATTTTAAGAGAAAAGTATCTGTGTTACTGTAATGGCTATCTTTTATTGGAGTACTTGATTTGTGACAGATAACTAGTTAAATATTTTATAGATTAAGTCAGGTGCTGGTGGCTCATGCTGTAATCCTAGCTACTCAGGAGGCTGAGATCTGAGGATCAAGTTTTGAAGCCAGCTCAGGTAGGAAATTTCTTGAGAATCACATCTCCAACTAACCACCTGAAAACTGAATGTAGATCTATGGCTCAAAGTGGCAGAGTAATAGCTTTGGGCAAAAGAACTCAGAGACTGCACCCAGACCCCAAGTTCAAGCCCCACAACTGAAAAAGTAAAAATAAAAGTATTTTATAAATTATTATTTTAACTATATTAGTTGAATTTTAAATTAAATTGTAAGTTATTGTAAATGAATTGAAGATGTGACATTGTGCCTCAAATAGAAGAGTAATCACCTTGAACAGAACAAGAAAAGCTGTGGGACAGAACCCAGGCACTGAGTTCAAGCCCTATTACCAGCACACGCGCGCACACACACACACACACACACACACACACACACACAAACTCAATCATACAAAGCAAGTACACTTTCTCCTACTTTACCAGATGAGCAAACAGAGATACAGATAAGTTAAATGGCCTGACAAAGATTCACAGGTAAAATATGACAGGGTAAAGTTTTGCTCTCAGGATGTCAGACCTAATGAAATTGCCCTGCTATGCTACATCCCATCTGTTAAGAGAAAGATGAGTAGACTGGGAACAAGAACTAAATTGGAGTCCTGGTGCATGCACTGGGACGTTGCACTTTTTGTGCTTTATTTTATCATGTCTAAAATTAATAGAAGAACATTTATTCAAAGTTATGGGTAAGGAAACAATCCAAGAGCTTTCCTGTGTTTCTATTTCCAGAAAGCCTTTCTCTATAGGGAATGCCATGGGGAAAGGGAGACTTATAATTGAATAAATGCAAAGTGGAATTGTCCTTTTAATTGTGATGGCACTAGGTGCTCAGGGATGTGAGGAGAGGGGAAGACTATGAACAGTTGTATCTGGAGACTCTGGCTCAACAGAGAGGTGAAGACATTTTGGTAGTTGAAAGCAGTTGAAGAAATATGGGCAATATATATAGACATAGAGCATACAGAATGGACCAAAGTATAAAAGTTGTTGGTGTGTACATAGCTCGAGCAGGGGATCTTCAGTGGAGGGTGAAGGAAGTGAGAGGTGAGGCAAGTAATGAAATTCCACTGAAGAATTTCACTGAAGAATAAGAAAGGGAAGTCACTCATGTTTTAAGGTACTTTAAGTAGAACGTATCTCAGTCGGTCTTGGGTGATAAACTAGGTGGTTTCCCCCATCAAAGAGTTGGAAAATACAGGTGAAGAAATAGGATTTGTGAGAAAGATAGTATGTTTAGCATCTGAGCACAATGGTTTCAGATGCCCATAGCGTAATTGAGACTTTCAGAAAACAATTGGGAACTCTTGGGTTAACATTCAGATTATGTGAACATGGAATTCTGAAAGGAGGTCCGCCTTGAAAATGGAAGATGTAATAATAGCTGTTTATTGAATGCTTATTAATTGTGTGTGTGTGTGTGTGTGTGTGTGTGTGTTGGTCCTGGGGATTGAACTCAGGCCCATCAGTTCTGGGGCTTGAACTTGGTATCTGGATACTGTCTCTGTGCTTCTTTTGCTCAAGGCTAGGCTAGTGTCCTACCACTTAAGCCACAGCTCCACTTCTGGATTTTGGTAGTTTATTGGAGATAAGAGTCTCACACACTTTTTTTTTCTTTTTTTGGCCTGGGCAGGCTTCAAAATGCCATCCTCAGATCTCAGCCTCCTGAGTAGCTAGGATTACAGGCATGATCCACCAGCACCTAGGGTATACTCACTAAATTTTAAGTTCTCCTCTACTAACAAATTGGATTTACCAAACAACCTTCTGAAGTTAGTATACTTCTATCATTTCCATTTTATATGTGATGAAATAAGCCAAGAGAGGTTAAGTGGGGCCAAATGTTTTGCTCTTTTTCGAAGTTCTAAATTACTAAATATTTTACTGATCTCAGGTTGATTTATAAACACTCAAAGAGACATCCAGACCTGTCTGCATCAACGCTTCTACAGATCACTGGAATGTATAAGGATACCTTGGGAGACTGCTACAACAGAGAAAGCCCTCCAGATTGTGTTCATGATGTGGTAGGTTCCATCATTGTAGATTTGGGAAATAGAAAAAGAGCAACAATAATACACCACCGAAGAATCGCTAGTGAAGTTTTCCTCTAGTCAAAAGCGTAGAAAATGTGCTCAACCAACCTGAGTCTACTTTAGATGACTCAGTGGGAGATGCTCATTGGGGAAGGCCAACCTGGCCAGTTTGGCTTATGTGTAATGTCTGAACTACCCATGGCTTAATGTGTCATGTTTTGAACTACCGACCCAATGGGTTAATTGGAAAACCTCTTCCCATGAAACATTTTCCACCTTTGATCAGTGTCTCTGTACTTCATTTTTTGGGTCCTTATTGGAACTTGGTATGACTGCAAAAGTGATAAATGATTATTGTAAATGATTAGGAAAGTACCAAAAGTTGCAAAGAAAACCACAGAAGGAAATTTTGATTTTATTAAAAAGAAACATTTACACGTGTATGTTTTAAAACAAAATTGGCCTTGCTATTCAGGAGGTTGAGGTTCAAAGCAAGCCTGGACAGCCAAATTGCCAATTAACTGATCAGCAAAAAACTGGAAGTAGAGACATGACTCAAGTGGTAGAGCACCAGCCTTGAGTAAAAAAGCTAAGGCATAGCTGAGGCATTGAGTTTAAGTCCCAATACCAGCACACACACACACACACACACACATACACATACACACACACACACACACACACACACACACACACACACACGTAAAGTTAAGATTGGAATAATACTTCTTAGAAAATGCTTAAGCCTGCTTTTTAAAATTTAAAATACTAGAAAACCCATTATGTTTGTTATAATGGTGCTATATCAGTTCCCTACATGGACACAGGAGCATAAACCAACAGAAAGACATTCTTTCCCAGGAGGCCTGAAGTCTGAAATGAGTCTTATGAGCCTAACTGCAAGGTGCTAGAAGGGTTGTGGAAGTTCTAGAGAGAATCTCCTCTTTGGCTCTCCTAGAAAACTTTCCATGTTATAAAAGAAACTTCAAAATATATTTCATTTTAGTGAATGGTTATGCATCATTATAAAGTAATTTTGCTAACTGCCCTCCAACTATGTTTGCTTAAAATGTTATTTTATAAATGTCTTGGAGATGAGTTTTTCCTTCTACATATTTTTATTAATATTTATAAATACTCTTTTAAGATAATTACCAGAAGTGCAATCATTGAGCTAAACTACAAGGACATTTAGCTGGTGCAAGTGGCTCACACTTGTAATCCTAACTGCTCTGGAGGCTGAGATCTGAGGATTGAGGTTCAAAGTCAGCCCAGGCAGGAAAGTCCATGAGACTCTTATCTCCAGTGAACCACCAGAAAACTGGAAGTAGCACCGTGGCTCAAAGTGTTAGTGCACCAGGCTTGAGCAAAAAAGCTCAGAGCCAGTGCTCAGGTCTTGAGTCTAAGCCCTATGACTGACAAAATGAAACAAAAACAAAAACAAAGACACAAAATATAAGAACATTTAAAACATCATTTGACACAAATTTTCAAGTCACATTACAGAAAGGCTTTGCCAGTGTCCACTCCATAACTGCTCAAGCATACTCATTTCTACTCATCTTTGTCAACTCTGTACATGGAAATTAGCTTTGTTACATTTATATGTAATAATGATGGCTGTGTTAAGTAAATGCAGATTTGATTTAAAAGACTGCATTAGTTTTTCTCATATGATTTATAAATTTGTAAAAAAATGTTATAAATGTAAACTTCCTATGAGAAATGTGTTCATGTTTGTTACTTATTTTCCTGTTGAAATTGTTTTTTATCCCAACTCACGTACTCATATTTATAGACAAGTATTTTAAATTTATTTCTCATGCCCTTGTTATGTGCTAGTTTTTATTTATTTTTAATCTTTCTTCAACTTGCTATAAAAGCCAGTTTGTACTCTTTCAAATTCAAGCAATGAAATTAGATGGGTTTTTCATACTTTCTCTGTCATTCTCCCTTAGAAAACTGTCTGTTTCTCATATTTAACTAACCTTGTTCTAGAAAATGCTCTTTTTATAAGGAGACACAATTTGTCTCACGGCATCTATTTATTGGTTTAAAATTCTGTGGTGATAATTCAGGAGATGGTTAACATTATTCCATGGTGGAAAATCCATCAAATACTTGAAAATAACTACTGGAGAATTTTCAGTTCCAAATCTAAAATATATAAAACTAAGAAAACATGATTTAAAATGTTCTGTATTAATACTTATTAGTTGGATCATTCTAGAAAAATCAATTAATTTCACAAGGTCCAATTTTTACTTAAAAATGGAGCTAACAACCACTTTGACCAATTGAGTCAATATCAACATAAAACTTGAATTATATCTTGTAATTCTTAAGGTTCTAAAAAAGTGTACAAGGTATTTGTTAATGGAGAACTCCAAACCTTGATACATATATAATAGTGCTCTCAATATAGTGAGTAATATATATTATAACAAGAATTTGAAACACTCTATAAAAAAAAAGTTGTTTGAGGGCCGGGAATGTGGCTTACTGGTAGAGTGCTTGCTTACCATGCCTGAGGCCCTGGGTTCGATTCCTCAGCACCACATAAACAGAAAAAGCTGAAAGTGGTGCCGTGGCTCAAGTGGTAGAGTGCTAGCCTTGAGCAAAAGAAGCACTGGGACAGTGCCCAGGCCCTGAGTTCAAGCCCCAGGACTGGCAAAAAAAGTTGTTTGACAATTTGATATAAAGCTTGTGACTAAATTTTAGGTAAATAATTTGTAACAATGGTTGTTGTTAATTTTCAGAAAGACAAATTCCATAAGGAAACTGAAAAAAAAGCCTCAAGATGGTACATGAAGAATGTGAACTTTTCTGGAATTTGGGGGAGGAAGGCTTGAAATGCCAGTAGGTTGAATGCACAATCTAGTTAACATTTGTGACCAGTATAACATAATTGCTCAAAGATTTAAAAATTCTTTTAGTTGCAGATAATTCATTAGCTCTGCAAAGGAATAAAGACCCAAAAGTCAAGATTCATGACTATTCAGATGTTACATGAATCCTTCAACAGAAATAAAGCTAGAAATGAAAGAAATACCAAGTAATGGACAAATCAATTCTGTAAAGTGTTAGTTTTCTTTTGAATGTGGCTTTCTGCTAAGCCAAGACTTCTGGGTTCTGCTCTCTTTTGGAAGTATTGTAACAAGTTGTTATTGTTTCCAAGGAAAGAGATGTTCTACCTGGATTTTGGTCCATATTAGCTGATTTAATAGAAATAACTTGGAATTTGCTTACCTGTACTATTTATTATTTTAGAGTTCTTATGAGCATCATTAATAAGATGCAATTAATTTAGATTTTCTTAATTGTCATCCTGCAGTAATATTTGTTGAATTAAATATTTTTAAAATCAAAATAATACACAGTTTAAAAACACATTTCACTATTTCTGCAACCTATGGTTAGCTGAGAATTCAACCTCATTTTAATCCATTTATGATCTTGTCATTTCACCTCATTTGCAACATACATCTATTAAGTTGTCTCTTTAAATTATGTACCATCTACATAAAAGATATCAGCCAAGTAGAATTTTACTTGCGTCGTCAAGATGTGTGTTGCTGAGGAGTTTCTATACTCATGATAAGACAAGACAGGCAAACCTAAGAGCTTATGAGAGTCACTATGCATTAAAACAAAATGAAACTATACAGCTATAAGAGATAGGATACAGGAAAATAAAGAGGCATTTCTCTACTGTTTTATGAGAGCCAAGGTTCACATCTGTACTTAAGTCAACACTCCCTAGCCTTGAAAGGTTCTGGTTTCAGGGGAAAATGAGTGTCTACTTTTGTTAGAAGCAAACAGAAGCCTTTTTGTTTTTCCAGCCCCATTATCAGACTCACAAAGATAGCTCCCCAGCTCCCAAGTGAGCAACTGGTCTACCTTGCAAGGTAGACTACCTGCTGCACACTAAGCATTTGCCTATGTTGCTAATTGGGTGAGTATGGATCACAGACCTGACAACTCATAGACTTACAGTGATTATCTGCCTTTCTCTCATCATTGCTTTCAGTATTGTCAAACCAGGAGTGTGGTTTGCCTTTTGGCTTGTGGTATAAAAATACTAAGAAGCAAAAGAGAATGTCCTAAATATTTTTAAGGATTCTCTAAGTTATCTTTTTTTATGTCTTCTCTACGTTAGAATTGATTTGTTATGGAAATGACTTAGAAATCATGGTCATTTTTCAGAATGAGAATGGAAACCTTTCTGTGTATTTTGTGGTAATTTTTGTGCATTATAAGTGGCACCATACTCTTAAGTATGTTAAAGTGTTATAAAATTTCCTTCTTTCCCTAAGAGTGGAAACTCAGTAAGAGAATTGTGATTCCCAGTGTAGTGTTTTTTTTTTAAGGAGGGGAGAAGTTGGTAGAGAGTCCTAGGAGAGAAATGTACCTTAAGACCAAGGTGTTTGTTGGCTACTTGAGTTGGATATTTGCAGCTCTCTGCTCACAATTATAATTTTGTGTACTGGATACCCAGAAATAATTCTCTAGCCCTTCAAATTTCTGTAGGTTAAATTATGTTGTACTTCCGTTTTAGGACCTTGCCCTTTTATTTCTTTGTACATTGTGCAGTACTGTGAGTACATCTTAGGACAATCTAACTATCCATCTAATACTTTTCAAAAACCTAAGTAAAAAACAATTCATCTGAGTTCTGTTTCTCATTGGTATAGGCAGACTCAGTCCTTGGAGAACTATGTGGGATAAATGAAAACCAAACCATCAATCCAGCTCTGGACCACTGTTGTAAAGCAAACTTTGCCTTTCGAAGGCACTGTTTTGAGGGTTTAAAAGCTGATAAAATGTATGTGCCTCCACTAGTCTCTGAAGATTCATTTGCTTTCCATGATGAGTGGTGTATGACTCAGAATGAGGAACTTCAGAGCATGAAAAACAGGTATGAATAGTTTCTTCCTCTCCTTCCTTTCTTCAACCTGAAGGCATAAAATGCATCAAGAGAAGGAAGGCCTGTTATTGCAGATTGGTGTTTTGTTGTCCTGATCCTGTTCCTTCCATCAAATTGTCTGCTGCCCTATTCACAAAATCATAATTGCATATATATTGTTGTTCATAAAAAAAAGCACACCTTGTCTTTGCCAGGCTAAAGGCAAGTCTACTTGTAGTGCCCAGTCAGACTGATTTAAAAAGGTGAGTTAGGCCATCAAACAAAAAGGCTCCTGGACAGAGTCAAAACACATTCGATTTTCTTTTTCTTTCTTTTTTTTTTTTTTTTTCTTTTTGGGTCTTGTCATGGGGCCTGACCTCTGGGCCTGGGTGCTGTCCCTCAGCTCTTCAGCTCAAGGCTAGTGCTCTACCACTTGAGCCACAATGCCACTTCCGGCTTTCTTTTTCTTTTTGCTTATGTGGTGCTGAGGAATCGAACCCAGGCCCTCTTGCATGGAAGGCAAGCTCTCTACCACTGAGCTACCTTCCCAGCCCCACAATGGATTTTCTTGAGAGAATAGAATGGATGTTTGTCCCGAGTATCCCATTATTTCAGAAATGGAAAGGTGTATAAGGATGGAAATTTTAGGTTTTTTTTTTTCAAGGAATACTTTAATGTCAAGAAAGGAGACTTTCATTTTTGGGTTTAGATATGGCTATAACAAGTGCAGTAGAAGCAGCATTCAGCTACTCTAAAAGGGGGTTGGGGAATAAATGGACTACTTTGCCTTTCGAAGGCACTGTTTTGAGGGTTTAAAAGCTGATAAAATGTATGTGCCTCCACTAGACCTTAAGAAATGTTTCTATAACAAGCATTTTGGAGAAGAGCACTTTCACAAAGAAACCATTCACTAACTATATTTGGTATCTCCGAGCCTTAGGTTTCTTATTGACTTAGTGAAGCGGAAGCCTGCACTCACCCAGGAGAAGCTGAGGTCTTTGTTTATGACCTTCATTAACACAGTGGAGACACAAGATCCCAAAGCCTGTTTCAGTAAAGAGGGATGATATGTCCACTGAAATTCAACTGGTGCTCCTAGTCAAAAGTACCCCCTTGGGAACCTGCCTGCCTCCTGTGTTTGAGAGCACAATGGCTACACAAGTGAGAGGCAGACATACCAGTGATGAATTGGGTACCATCTCCACCATGGTAACAGGGCTGTATGGAAACACTAGGTTCTCATCCCTGCAGCCTTGCCATGTAACTTAAACTGAATCATCTGGAAATAAGGATGGATGAGTCACGTTGAATCATACTATTGGTCCTTATCCTTGTGTTTTTAATGACTTATGGTCCTAATGAAACAGAGTCAAAGTGACTCTCAAAGCCAGCTCCAAGGGAAAGTGCAAGGGTGTTAGGAAAGGAAGTCCTTCAGAGGTGGCGTCCTACTTTCCTAGGCCTTCCCAGCTTCCCTCCATTGAGGATCCAGGAGGAAGTAGAAGGTAAAGAAGAGAAGAGGGAGAATATGTCTTCTGCTTGCTCCCCCCTGCCCCCCAATGGCTGTGGGGGCTATAGCAACTTCCTGTGCGGTAAACCTACGGCCTGTATATATCAGCCCCAACACAGGGCCCTGAGGGAGGAGCAGAAACTGTTTTGCAATTTCCTTTCTCATTGTCTCTTTCCGAGCAACGCACGTTCCACTCTAAAACTCACTCACCACTCGTGCAAACTCATGTGCTTCATGCACGCTCATCTATCCCATGCACACGTCTTCAGTCACACACTTTATGCACATTCATGTACTTCCACTCAGACGTTTCAGTGCACACTCACATGCACCCATCACACACACCTTTTATTCTGGCTGAGAGTCCTCCGCTTTTCTGAATGATTACTTAGTCTGGGGATACCTTTTTGGAAAAATTGACTAGTTTCAAGATTATTTTTAATTTTATTGAACAATATGAATTAATACCCTCTAATAAAAATCACCCAGGCATATGTAATAGGAATAGTAACAAGAGGGATGAATTGATTTGCAGTTCATAAAATGTCTGTTTTCAAATTTACCTTAAGGAAGAATGTTCCATGTCTCTCTCTATGGAAGTAATTTGTATTTTCACTACTTTCGGGGAAATGTTCTTTTCTAACTGTAAATATTAATATCTCAAAGTTTTCTGTATGTACTTTAATTTCTCTTTCCCTCTCTCAGGATCCAATTAAATCCAAGCTGCTTGAGAAACAAAGTAAGATGCACCAGAGGTAATTCCTTCTTTTTAATATATATATTATATATATCTTAATTATCTTTAGGTAGTTGTATAAAGAGTTGCTATTTAACAAAGAAGCTTATGAATACCATGCATCACGATCAATGTCCCTCCCCTCAGCCTTCTCCATTCTATCTTAATCATGTTTTCAGTTACTTGCAGTTAACTTGGTCTCCCTGGATTTTTCCTTCTGTTGCTTCCATGTCTGTTCTGAGTCCATCCCATGGGCTTTGGGATTGTAAAGTCTCTCATACTGGTCCTGTTCTATTCATCTGGAGGTCAGTGCTCTTGATAGGGTGGCAATACTGTATATGGCCCAGTACTTTCAAGGCAGTTTTCTGAGTAGCCAAATGGTACCTGCTCCTCTGACCTGCTATTCATTCAGTTCTCCAGATATGAAAAAATGGTAATTGAATTTTCCATTGTTGACACAAAGAGAGTTTAAACCCTCAGGTTGAACTAGAAAGACAGGTCTCTATAACACTCTTCCAAGAGTCTTTTGTGAGTCTCAGTAAAATCATTTTACCAAGACATAATTGACCTGTAAATCAAAAGTCTTGCCAAGTATTTGCATAAAAAAAAGAAAAATATGGGTCTGGGATGGTGGCTTAGTGGTAGAGTGCTTGCCTTGCATGCCTGAGGCCCTGAGTTCGATTCCTCAGTATCACATAAGCAAAAAGAAAAAAGCCGAAAGTGGCGCTGTGGCTCAAGTGGTAGAGTGCTCGCCTTGAGCTGAAGAGCTGAGGGACAGCGCCCAGGCCCAGAGTTCAGGCCCCACAACCGGACCCCCCCCAAAAAAAAATGTTTGTATTTTCAAGAGATTTAGAAAGATTGCCCTTTTCTCCTGAAGTTACTACTCAACACAAAGTTTAGGAACAAATGTTGCCTAGATTATAATGTACAGTGTCAGGAAACAGAGACTTGAACTCTAACAGAGAGTATGTTTACAATAACAGAGGCAATGCATAACTACCACTGACCATTAAATATACAATTAGTGTTCAAATTACAGTATTTTGGTCTTTTTTTTGGTGCCAATACTGGGGCTTGGAATCAGGGCCTAGCACTCTGGCTTGGCTTTTCTTTTCTTTTTTTTTTTTTCCTCTTCTTTTCTTTTCTTTTTTTTTTTTGGTTCCAGTCTGGCACTCTTCTACTTGAGCTACAGTTTTACTTCTGGCTTTTTACTGGCTAATTGGAGATGAGAGTTTCTAGAATTTGTCTGCTCAAACTGGCTTCTAGCCAGGATCCTCAGATCTCAGCCTCCTGAGTAGCTAGGATTTCAGCTGTGAACTACAAGCACCTGGCATTATATTCTTTTGAAATATAAAATACTTTTTTTTCTTTACAGCAAAGACAGACATATGGGCTTTCTACTGATTTCATTTTCCTAAGAAGAATGATGTAAAAAGAATTCGTGTGTAATCTTTACTTGAAATCTTGTGATGGCATCAAGTAATAAAACAAAGTTATTGCTATTTCTCAGACTGATGTCATCTATTAATCTGATGATAAGATTAAGCAATCTTGGCTGGGCAACAGTGGCTCATGCCTGTAATCCTAGCTACTGAGGAAGCTGAGATCTGAGGATGGTGGTTCAAAGCCAGGCTGGGGAAGGAAAGTCTGAGAGACTTTTATTTCCAATTAAGCACCAAAAAAGCTGGAATGGAGCTGTTGCTCAAGTGGTAGAGCACTAGCCTTGAGCATAAAAGCTCAGGGACAGAGCCCAGGCCCCAAGACTATGCATGCTTTGTGTCAGTGTATACACACACACACACACACACACACAAGCAATCCTGATACATTTATTCTGCCAACATCTTTTGCAAACTGGCTGCACCTGTCCTGTTCTGTGGGAGTCTGAATGTTCAACAGCCTCTGTGTGGACTTGTACTCCTAGATCTTGCTCTCATTATGACTGGAGTAGTGGCATGCTTGCAAGCTACCACAGCTACTGCTGCCAATCATGATGGCCCTTATTGAGCATTTTCAGTACAAACATTGTTCTAGGTACATTATATACATCATCTCATTTAGTCCTAACCATTCTGTGAGCAGCTATAATTTTTCATTCTTATTTTTCAAGTAGCGAGCTAAGGTTTGAGTTTGCATGCCATAATTTAAGAACAATATTCCTCGCTACCTTGCAAATATGGCCATGTGGTACACTGTATAAAATCTGATATGTAGACAGAGAGAGGAGTGTTCAAGCCAGCAGGAACCATGGATCTCCATCCATCCCAGACTGAAGTCCTCCTAATGTGTGAGCTGTAAATACCTCATCGTGACTTCAGCAGAAAGGAGGACCCAGGGAATAAAGATTGCTCTGAGCTCATGGCCTTGTTGTCCGGCCTATTACCTGTAACTACAAGGTGTGGTGTGTGTGTGTGTGTGTGTGTGTGTGTGTGTGTGTTTCGATACTTACAGTTGAAGATGATGATACTTTAATAGGACACATATCCACAGAGTTCTTTTGACATAGCATTTAGAATATGGTTTCTTGGATTCTTATTCACTTATTCAACAGGTATTTCTTAGAATCTTGTTATGTGGTTTTTTATTGTGAAAATACTGTACAGAGGGGTTACAATTACATGGGCATTGCTATGTGTGATATACATCATGAATACAAACCAGATAGACATGGTTTTCTGTGTCCTGCTGCGTGAGGAGGAAGACAGCAGCAAGTGGTTACCTATGCTGTGTTAACTATGTTGCAGAAATGATGTGCACTATAATGTGCACTGCTCAGACACTTGCTCTAAGCTGAAGACGGGGTTCAGATGTGGGCTTCAAATCCCTATTGCTGCTAACTTGCCATAGGGCCTCAGGCAGGTTCCTTTAGAATCAAGGACCTGCATTTCTTTGTGTAAGATGGGATAATAATAATCGCATCACAAAGACATCAGAGAAGCGAAGTAAATAGTTACATAATGTTAGTAGAACACACTAACTCCTCCATTTTGGTCTTGACAATCTCCATCGTAGGCCTTCAGCTCCACCCCATTCCTGGAAGTACGCACATCTCTAGCCTCCAGATGCATCAGCAGAATGCTGCCTAACGGGAACTGTTGGAATCAGAAAACCCCACCCCGGCTATGTGCCATCTTTAGCATTCAGCTGCACACACAGAATACTCCCTGCCCTTAATAAAATTCACCTTCCTCTTGTCCCTGACTGTCTAAAAACACCCTGAATAAAGGACAGGCTCTGTTTCTCCCTCTCCTGTGAGACACTGGCCTGTCAGCCAAGGCAATAAACTCCCTCTGCTCTATGTGACTGTGTCCGCATGGTCTTCTGGGATGGGTGCTTTCACATCGGCCCAAAGATAGTAATGTTAAAATCGTGAAGCTATTGTGTCTTGTCCATTTTCTCTGAACACCCTCATTTATCAATGAGAACAAATAAAATAGCTTTATTTAAATAACACACAATAGATTTAATAAATAGAAGTGAAATAGCACGATTAACTAATGCAATTTCACTCTTATGGACTGGATTCTGCTTCACATTCAGTTTTCTGCTCCTGATGCTAACATTGAGATGTGAAAGTTGAGATCTGGGAAGCTACTGACAACATGTAGACTTTCGTACCAGGGAGAAAGTGGTCATCCACTCTCTCCTCCACCATGCCAGGAGAAACACCAAACCAACCAGTTAACCAGAACCTCGTGAGGAGGGGAGGGAGAAGAATGCTCACTTCAAAAGTTGTATTTTGCCTAGATAAGAGAAGATTTGGAGTGAGGACAAGTCAAATTTATATTGTATTACAAAGACTTCAAACCAAAGAACATATTGGG